TTTGCTGGATAAACGTAAACCCAATTGTAACTAAAACCCAAGTAATTCTAAGAATTATTTGGAATAACAAATGCACAGTATTACCAATGATATTTTTTAATGAAACTTTGTTAAGTGACAAGCATAGTTTCAAAACCATTATACAATGACACCTCAATACTACTGCCTAAATAAAAGCATTGATGGTAACTTTACATTTTAATTTTACTTGCTTTATTTTCCCTCTTTCTCTTCTTTTTTAGAATCAATACAGGCTACTTTTTAAATAAATAATTAGCTATTAAGAAAGAAAAATAAAAGAAAGGCAGCTGATAAGTCTATAGGTCAAATGACTCCTACGCTGATACTTTTTCTACCATATCACATAATCTCAATAATAAATTTTCTTTGTTTTGATCCTTTTGATGTCCTTTTAGTCATACCACTGTGGCAACAGTAAGACTGCCAAGAAAGAAAAAGCATATGAAATTAACCAATTTAAGAGTGAAAAAAATTCCACTACTATTGTTAAGTCCTCCAACAAAAACAGCAGAGAAAAAATGGAAAGAAAAAAAATCCAGTTGGTCAAAAGAACTTCCACAGGATCATTAGGGTGAAAAACTGGGGGGATTTGCCCCAACACTGCATTTGTTTTAAACCAGATTATTTTTCTTTACATATCCATAAAAGAAAAAAGGTTCACCATTTCCATATACGGTACATATGAACTGAGGCAAAGGGCAGTTATGTGACTTGTCTGAACTAATACAATTAAATTAATGGCTGAACTGTAAACAGAACTTAGAATACCCAACTGCTAGTATGCTGCTCTAACTAATGGATCATGCTCCCTGCTATGTAATAGGACTGCTTCCTTTAATTACAAATTCTTCATTCACCATCAGATTATCAGCCAGAGGCTTTATCATTAGTTTTGCTCTTCTTGCATCCATGGCATTATTCCAAGAATATAAGATTTCCATGATAAAAAATATAAAGACCACTATTTACTACACCACACCGAACCTAAGGATTCCAACTGCCCATGGCAAGAATACTTCACCAAGCCTGTATTTAGTGGCACATTTTCAGGCAAAATTGCAATTTTAACATCCATTTTTGCTTGATCAGTGATCTGGACAAAAGGAATTTCATTTTTTTATAATCATAATATCAGTGCACTTAAAATCTGACAGTAGGGAATTCTATAGTCTCAGTCAAGAGTATTTACACATGTGACCTGTATGTAAAAGTCTAAAACAATTATTAAAGATATATTTTGGAACATCTGTGATGTTAGAAAGTAGAATAAAATCATGAGATGTTCTTACCATCTATGCTAAAATCTATAAAAGATTAACTGAGCAAACAAATAAAGTAAATATCTACAAAGAGGTGCTTAGACACTTGTCTTTGAGAAGCACTTTGTGTTCCTTTGGCACATATCATGGCAGCAATAGTAGCAGCAGCCTTGCCCTTGGTGCTGATTTCTTACTACTCTAAATGTCTCCTCTGAGCCAGAATACACTGGCTGTTGCTGATCATGCTGTGAGACACCTGCACTGGCTACTAGGCTTGTCATGACGCACAAAACCCTACCATCTTCAGCTTGACATTGTGCAAGTTATAATTATTCATCCAAATGAATATGTCAGAGCAGCAGCAGCAGACCTCTCATCAGAGCAAAAGAAAAATACATCAAAACATTATCAACCCAGCAGGAAGACAGGGACCATAAGGAAAATTACCCATTTTTAATATGGATGCCACAAAGCCATGTCTATTATATTACAAAAAAAAAAAAAAAAACACAGAAAAATAAAGATCTTCCAAGTTTAAAGTTCAGAAACACTGAAACCAAAGAGGAAATACACAAAAGCAGAAAGGGATTTTTAAAAAATCAATTATCTGAAATCTATTTACCATCTCTTAAATCTAACTCTGCTACTAAACTACAACAGTAACATTTTTATTGCTTAAAAGAGACAACTGTTTAAAAATTAAAAAAAAAAAAAAAAATTCCCACAAGCAGAATTGTTTGAGTCAGCCAATTAAAAAGGATCACACATAACAAAGAAGTCTCACATTTCTTCTTATTTTCAAAACATAAACTATCAACACTCTTACCATGTCTAAAAGACTCAGAGTTCACACTGCTAGTACCATCCAAAGTCCTTATGATGTACAGCCAGAATCTTATACGTAAATGATATATTTTTTAAACTTTCTAAATATTAATGGCATGTGTAAAAAAAACTGTGAAATCAGCCCCCAACCCGCATAAATGAAGACACACTCAAATTGTATAAGCATATAGAAAATAGGCGCTATCTCATACTTACTTAAATATTAAAAATAACTTTCTGAACTATAGCAGAATATTTTTTCAGAAAAATATATGAAAGATTCTTATTTGAAACACAACAGAAACCACAAGAGAAGGATGAGACCAGACTGAAAGTTAAACTCTGTATGACAAAATATACACCAAGTTAAAAGACATGCCACAGAGATATTTATATCCCATATAACTAACAAAGAATTAGTACCAAAATATATGTTTAAACTTTAAACTTGGAAGATCTTTATTTTTCTGTTTTGTTTTTGTTTTTTTTTTTTAAACCCAATTTTGGGTAAACAGTTACTAAAGGGAGAGAAGCAAAGAAAAGAAAGACGGGAAGGAGGGACAGAAAAGGGAGTCAGGTCTTAGCTATTCTTAAAACATTTTATTTTTAAGAGAAAGAGAAATATAGATATATCTGAACCAATATGACAAAACATTAACATTTGTCAAATCTGAGTTGTGATAAAAGGTTGCATAATTTATCTGTACTTCGCTAAGAATTTCAGTATATTCCACAAATAAAGATTTTATAACACTCATTACTACTAATTCTACATTTTCTTAGAGTTACTACAAAACAGAAAACTTATATAACCCAATTAAACCTGAAATTTAAATTTGAATTAATATTACTAATATAATATTTATTCCATGTTTATATGAATAAGGCACTGAGCATGTGGATATAAAACTTAAGATAAACTGCCTTCAAAGATTTTCCAGTCTAGTAGAGAGCCGCCAACTAATTTTGTTAAATAGCAAAATAAAGTAAGTACTAAACAATCTTTTTATGGCATTGCAAACTTTTCCACAGACAAATGCCTAGGGAAACTTCTCGAATTATGTACATCTAAAACACAAAGAAACTCATAAACGGTGTATTTTTCAACCTTGGAATTGTGATAAATATTAAAGTACAATTTAGAAATAACACCTGGAAAGAGTAACACAACCTAGCTATATTTTCTCATGATCTCACTTAAAACATCAAGATTAAAATTCCAGAGCCAATAGAAAATGTATATTTTAAAAAAAGAGACATGGGTTTAATGAAAATTTTTTTAAAATAAAAGAACACTATAAAATGTATGCATAATTCCAATTCTTTAATAGAAAAAAAATCAACATAGTATCTTACTTATCGTATACATCAAAACACCAAAAGCAAATTACAGGCTCTCTCTTCTCTATTTTGCTATGTTTTCTCCACTTCCATTGTGGGGAGATTGGGACTTCAAAAAAAAAACAAAAAAAAGAATATGAGAAAAATAATTTTTGAATAAATACAATATATAATTAAAATGGCATTTTGGCCTTGACAAGACTATTTAAATCCTGTTAGGTTTTTTATTTTTTACTAATTTCTTATATATTTACTTTACTCATGTATTTATATTTTAAAATACAAGCATAATTTTCTACTTAAATCTAACCAAAATTTTATAGCCAAAATGAGTAGCCTCTATTTACAGAATATTTGTAAAATGTCACTAGAAATGTTTTTTCTCTTTGTCTAAGAATAAAAATGTTCTCTCCATTTTTATCAGAGAGAACATTTTTATTATCAACTGCCACAATTTACTTGGTGAAAGAACTATGTCCTAACTAATCACACTGTGCCAATCCTTAAAAATCACACACATGAAATGGTGATAGTACTACTGATAATCATACCTCCTTATATCTATATGTTATAGTTTACAATGCACTTCTATAAAACATTATCTTGCTAATATCATCAATGTACTGTGAAATTCAACTGACAGAAGCAGGAGATTCTTCTGTATTCTTTACACAAAATATTGAATGTTCTAAAGCACAAAATAAGAGAATATAATCCGAGTTCAAAGATGAACTAAGGACAAATACTTTAAAACAATAAAAATGGAGTCGAAATGGCAAGGTTTATGTTTTCAGTCACAATTCATTCTCCTCTGAAAAGGATTCTCTGATATGTAATCAATGTTACAAGTTTTAGCAATATGAAAAATTTCACTCAACTTTTCAGTTACCATTCACTGCTTTCTACAGAGTTCTTTAGAATTTAAATTTAAAGGAAAATGTCTGTCAAAAGTGCTTCTGCATGTTTACTGAAAATGAAACATAAATATCTACAGGCTGGATGGTGGGTGTGTGTGTGTGTATGCGTGGGTGTGGGTGTGAGTGGGTGTGTGTGTGCGTGTAGAGAGGGAGAAAGAAAATGGACATTAACTGTAAGGAAATATAAAAGAAGCATTATAGAAGGTGTGTTTATAAATAAATGCGTAAGGAAAACTGGGAAAAAAAAAAAAAAGATTACTTCATAACCTATAAAGACTACCTGAGTAAAAAGAGTTACAGTTGGCCCTACCCACAGATTCCACATCTGCAGATTCAACCAACTGCAGATATAAAATATTCAAAAATAAATAAATAACAATAAAACTATTTAAAAATACAGTATAAAAACTACTTACATGGCATATGCATTGATTAGGTATTATAATCTAGAGATAACTTAAAAGTATACAGAAGACTGTGCACAGGCTATAAACAAAGTCTCATTTCATATCTTGGGTATCCATGGATTTTGGTATTTACACAGGGTCCAACAATCCATCCCCCATGGATACTCTGGGACAACTGTACTTTTTAATTACTTAAAACAAATTTAAGAATTTACCTGAGGAGAATTTACCTGAGGTGTCCAGGAAGCAGAAAATGGAACAGGAAAATCCACAAAACAATCTGGTGATTCTGCAGGATACTATTTAAAAAGCATAAAATTAGACCATTTTTGCTTCTGCGTGTTAATATCACATGAGGTATTTTAGAAAAACCAGATACATTAGGGGCTGGGCGCAGTGGTTCACGCCTGTAATCCCAGCACTTTGGGAGGCTGAGGTGGGTGGATCATAAGGTCAGGAGATCAAGAAAAGGAAAAGGAAAGGAGAAGAAGGAAGGGGAAGGGGAACGGAAAGGGAAAAGAAAAACCAAGTATATTAGGGGAAAACATATTATTGTAACTGCAAATGTATTACATATAATTATTTTTGCTCCACTTTCATAGTGATGTTAAGAGCTTATTTATAGTCAACCTATGGAGGTGCAACTTTGGTGATTTGGAATTGCCAAAGCAATCAGTGTTGAGTAAAAGGTAATGAATTAAGTCAGTGTTGGGTCAGCCGCTGAAGTTATGATTTGAGGAATGAACTAAACTGGATCTTTGTTTATCTTTAAAATAAGAGGTTAAATTAGTTGATACTTACTTTTCTCCTAGTCCTAAATTTAATTTCAAATAGCATCAGTCACTATTTAAATAGGCAGTATCAGTTAAAGGAATTAAGAAATACACAAAAATGAATACACACAGCTGTCAATGTAAAAAACTGTTTTCTACATTAAGGATATTAATTTTAGCAAGAAGATAAAATATCTTCTGGCTTATTAAGAAAAAATAAAACATACTTTCTAGCAAGAAAAACCTTTGAAAGATTGGTAAATACAAAATTATTTCTTCAACTAGTCATACAAAAGTGGCAGTCATGAGGACAAACCAAGTTTTTAAGTTAACAAAGGCAAAAGGTAAAATTTCTTAAAATCAGTTTCCTTATTAGAGAATCATACTTCATGATTTCTCTATAATCCAATTCTGATTATTCAAAGTCACATGTAATTAAAAATACCCATTTCTTTCCATTAAAAAGCTAAAATGCACTGAAAGAAAATTAATTTTAGGAAAACTTTCATTTGACAAAATATTTAAACCAAGTTTTAGGCTTTCACTTTTTTCAGCCTCTTATTTTTCAGTACTCTGCTGGGTAAGCAAAAGGGAACAAAAAACTCACTATAGTATTTAACAAACACTTGAAATCAACACTTTCAAACATTTAGCTACAATGATCAGTTGGCTAAAAAGACTGACTATCAATATACACTCTGACTAATGGTATCTGGCTATGTAGAACTAAACACAAAGGCAAATATATAAGAAATCATATAAAAATATTCCAGTGATCTACTTATGGGGGAAAAAAAAAGAAAGAAAAAAAGATCATGCTGAAATTAAAAGAGGAAGTTCTATTTCAGACAATTAAAAACATCAGATGATATACTTCAGAGTATCATTGCTGTAATCACTGGAGAAACAATTTGTACACCATATTTAAAAATCGTGATTATCTCAAAGTAAATGTAGACAAAGACCTCAGCTTTCTTTGGTTCCACCTCTGTTAATTAACTTGTACGATCTTGAACAAGTCATTTAATTTCTCTGGCTGTTTGCATGTAAAAATGACAAAACTTAACTGAAAGTGTACAAAATCTCTTTTTCTAAAATGTCAGAATTCTTTAAAAATAATAATGTGCACTTGAAACCTCTATGGGTCAAAAATGGAAAATTCAGTTCATTTTGAGTTGCTGCTATTTATCTTGGTGATGCTGACAATGAACAATATCAACTCTCTAACTTAAATGATTCATCAATCTAGATAGAGAAATTAATGAAATGTTTACTGTATTTGGAGTAGATACACAAAGTAAAGTATTTGTGGCCCCATTAAGTACATACACAGCTCATTATGCTAAAAGAGTAAGATACTACCTTCAAGTAGGATTCAGAATAGTAAATGGTATCAGTGTACTGACATGGAAAGAGATCCACAAATAGTTAAACAAAAAAGCAAGTTAGAGTAAATATATGATTCTACATATATAAATGAGTGCAGTATGTAGTTTCTGAGATAATGACATCTTTCAAATATATTTTTATATTTGTAATACAATATGTATATAATAAATTAGACTGATCTTCATGCAAGTGGCTTTACTTCATATCTGAGTTAAACGAAAACTTGTTACATGTGTTAATTACATTCATGCGCAAAATCAATTTTGTTTATATAACAAACTTCACATAATAGTACAGAACTTAAAAAGAACATTTATATAAGTCTGGATGATTTATCATAAATATTAAAATATAAACTAGCATACTAGATATTCATTTTCAGAATAGCTTCTGAATTATAATAGTATTAACTACAATGTAGATGGACTACAATATAACAAAGTAACTTGATCAAAATTAAGATACTTTTCAATAGTAAGTTGTATAGGTATATACAAAACCACTGGCAACTAATTGTCAAAACTTTTACTTCCAAAAGTAATTTACAACAACAAAAGCTCCATATACAGGAATATTAACTGAAAAATAAATATAGTATTTAATTATTTTCAAGTAAAACATAGTTCTCTAAATCTCATTTGCAGAAAATCAAATCAATAACTAAAAAAATACAATGATTACATATTAAGTATATATTTTTATCATACACAATATTTTTCAGACTCTATAGTATTAATATATTCTAAGACAAACTGTAACCAAGTCTGTTCTACGATTGGACTACCTAAGCAGTAAGGCTGACCCCCAAGTGAATACATACAAATTATAGCAGAGACGGAGTGCCCACCCTGTGACACATATTTGTAATTTGTTTTTCAAGTAGTAGTGATCTTGACCAAAGCTGAGGAAGCCCTGGGCTACTTCTTTTGTAAAGCAAAGGTAATTCAGTACAGAATGCACTGTAAGTAGTGCATAAAAATATACCTATAAAAACCACAAAATTTATCTGGTTTACTTCTACTTATTTTTTATTTACATATATATTTTTAATAAAGGACATCTAGTCAAAATGTGTATTTGTTTCCTTTGTGAGTTTCTTGGAGATGGTGAGGGGAAGTGGTAGAATTGGGAGAGTATGTATTCCAGAATAAATAAAACAAATGCATTTATTTACTGTATATTAAAAAAATCAAGTAATAGAAATAAAGGTTTGTGTATTTATGAAAAAAGTCTGCTTTGAGGTATGTTATAAATAAAAAAGTCAGCATTCCACTTAAAACTTAGTTTGGATTAAGATTTTGCATCATATACTCTTAATAGACAGTTAACGTTTCAGCTATTAACGTAGTTGACTAACAATCCCAGGCCCAATTTCTTTTTTTCTTTTTTCCTAAAATTTTTTTTTCCTAAAATATTTTTCAGTTAATATTCCTATATGTGGAGCTTTTGTTGTTGTACATTACTTTTGAAAGTAAAAATTTTGACAATTAGTTGGTGGTGCTTTTATATATACCTATACCTTTTTCCTAAAGAAAAAAAGACATCCTGGTTTTCTTCAAATTTCCGCAGTGATTACTAGGTAAATGATTAACATGCTGAACTTGTTTATTCTACTTATTTGTCCAAATTCACAATCTAGAACATTTTTTTCCTAAAAAAAAAAAAAAAAAAAGAAATTACCACATCTCAAAGACAACTGTGGTATACATATAAAGCTAAACTACATTGAGAAATAAAATTCAAATAAATCATACCAACATAAGATTCAGTTACATGCTTTTTTTTGTTTTTCCAAAACGATTTTTTTTTTTTTTTTTGCCAAATTCCTTCCCAGCTTAAATAAAGCTTTCTCTTCTCTTTTGCCAGAGTATCCATAAAAGTGCTTCATAACTACAGATGTTGCAAAACTGACCCTGGAAAATATTCTCCAGAGAAATACTAAAAGCATCATCTTATCTACCTTGAAAAAGTATAGAAAAAAGCAGACAAAATGGACCACATTAAATTGTCACATCTTCACTCTGCATACTACCAATAAATGAACTAAATGTCATCAACTTGGATTAATAATCTTGTAGGTATAGTTAAAGGCAGCATAAATTTACAGCATCATCTTCTTAGGAAGTAGAAGAGCTTGTAAAAATGAGGACAGGATGTATTTAAAATCTTTAGTTTTGGTCTTCATAGAAAAATGGCTAATTTTATTAAGGTACAAAATATAAACAAATAGAGCTTTGAAGGAAATGACAGAACCCTTGCCACTGGCAACATGTGACCCTTCGGAAGGATAAAGGCAAACTTCTCTTAAAAAAAAAAAAAAAAGCACATCTTTACAAACTAAAAAAGAAAATAAAAATTTTTTCAATTTAATAAAAATAATTATCTAACTTATTTTACAAATAACAAGATTTCCATCCCACTAATTTTCTCCAAGACTTATCACATATGGATCTTAAAATTAGACCTACACATTCTGTGTGTGAAAGAGATAATTAGTTATTTCTCAACCTGTCTGTTATAGAACCATTATAAGATATCAACTTTTCTGCGTCATCCAGTACAGCTTTATATATTAATTTTCTCTTGTGGAAAGCTTAAATGCCAGACACATTTTTAAAAAGGACAAACACAATTGATCTTTTTTCATCACTACAATCTTCTGAAAGAGCTGACTGATGATTCCTAGGAACAATAAAAAAAAAAAGTTGGACGTCCTGGTTTTCTTCAAATTCTCATGTTTCCCCAGTGATTACTAAGTAAATGATCAATATGCTGAACTTGTTTATTTTACTTATTTGTCCAAATTCACAATTTAGAACTAAAAAATAAAGATGAAACAACCATGTTTTGTGCCAATAAAATATGTGATTATATATCACTATCCTATAAGGGATCTATAAACAGAGGCATAACCTCTGCAAATTCTTAAAATACTTAAGTCAAAAAAACCCAGCCAAAGCAAACAAACTATAAAAAAGTATGCATATATGTTGTCTGTGTTAGGGAGTGGGAATCATAGGTAAGAATAAGAACTACAAAAGAAATTTATACTAACAGTTGAATGCAAAAGATTTTCTCAGTACAACTTGGGATAGTGGAAGTGTCCACTGTCTTCTACACAGGATGTTACAAAATTAACATCATGGTACTCTGAGGCTATAAAATTGTATTTGTAATATTTGTCATAAAGTCTATATTTTGATCAAATTTGGACTAAAATATGACATGAAACTGTCTAGGCTTTTGGAAACGTGGTGAATAAATTCTTTGAGGCTTTCCAAAATCAATGTTTTAAAGCATGATATATGTATTTTTAGATGCAACTAACACTTCTTTACATTGAGAGCATTCACAGAGTTCATTTCACAAAGTATTTCCTGATCACAATAACAGTTTAACGAGGCACATACCTTTGCCTTCAACTTGAGAGTTATTAAATGCTCTCTACCAGAAGCATCTTCTGCTTTTAACTTGATGGTACTGAAGCAGGTATCCACATACACAAGTCTGGTGAGTAGAGGAGAATAAAAAATGATCACACCGGGGAGAGCTGAAGAGGGGAACTGGAGAAGGCAGAATTTGAAATGAAAATATTTGCTATATTCCTATTAATCCATTATAAAAATTAATCAGAAGAATTTCTGCATGCCAACCCTTTCTGCTGCTATAGATTTACTGCCGTTCATACACCAGCCTAGCACTTAATGCAGTCATATATCTCTGGATTATTTACAATGTGTGTCAAGGCTCATGCTGTGGTCAGTGAGCACTATGTTTCAGTTTTCCATCACTGGAACCTTTGGCACACACAGCATGTTCCTGTCAGCCTCTACTTATGTACACATTAAACTTCCTGTCAAACTCTTTGATCCATTTCTGTAGTTTCATACAGTATAAGACTTTTATGCTTCCTTTTTCTCCTCAATGAATTTCTCCTATATTATCAATAATGTTACCGTACAAAAATCTAGCTGATATTTGTTCATACACTCAAATTGATCCTCTAAGGAAAATCCTGTATAAGCACAGGTACAGCCTGGTCTCCTAACAATAAATTTTCTTTTTGCATGATATATAGCTTCTGACACTTAACCTATGCATGTATTCAAGATGACTAATATTCTAAACATATAGCACAAGCACAACTGTTTTGGCTTTAAGTTACTCTAAATGCATGAATTTTCTACAATGGAAACCAATACCCTTTGAAATATATCATTCCGTAAAAATATCGTCCCTTGAGTAGCATAAACTACTGCCAAAACGGTTCAAATTTAGCAGTATATTTACTAGTGAACTGGGCATATGGATATTTTTGACATTTTTACAATACTATTTTCTTGTAAAGATAAAAAGTAGCCAACCGGGCGCAGTGGTTCATGCCTATAATCCCAGCACTTTGGGAGGCCGAGGTGGGCAGATACCTGAGATCGGGAGATCGAGACCAGCCTGACCAACAAAAAGAAACCCCGTCTCTACTAAAAATACAAAACTAGCCAGCCGTGGTGGCACAGACCTATAATCCTAGCTACTAGGGAGGCTGAGGAAGGAGAATCGCTTGAACCCGGGAGGTGGAGGTTGTGGTGAGTCCAGATTGCGCCACTGCACTCCAGCCTGGGCAACAAGAGTGAAACTCCATCTCAGAAAAAAAAAAAAAAAAGATAAAAAGCAGTCTAGGAGCATTGCAAAACTTATTACCCAGACTGATACTAAGACCCATCGGCGTTCAGAATATAAACCTCCTAACTTAGGAAATATATTTTTTAATATCACTATATGCCATTTAGATACTGACCAGGTACTATATGATGATAAAATGGGCTAATTTCAAGAAATGCACAATGAAGTTTTGAAACATTGTAACAAAAATATATCTAAATCTGAAGACATCTATCTTCAATAACAGAATGGAACTTTTATCCTAATCTGTAAAAAGTCTAGGGTCTTAGAAAACAAAAGTAAAACTATTCTAGAAAGTGTTTTATACACATAAAAATAACAATGAGTATATTTTCTTTTAGCTGTATCTGTAAACACTTCACCTACAAAAAAAATTAGCATGAGTCTTTATCACATGTTTTACCATATGTCTCTAAAGTTCAGATATATCAATACCAGACTCTTAAAACTTCTACACTTCAGATTCAAGATGTTAAGCACATGCATTTATAGTCTCTACTTCCTAAAAAATTAATCATTTAAAAAAATTAATATTTAAAAGGTATAAACTACCGTTACAAAAAAAAAAGGAATAGTATTAATTAAAGCAAATTTTCAACAACTTTTAGGAAAATGTAGAGTAGTTAAAAGAGCACTGGCTGACAAAACAGAAAAGAAGGGAGAGAACAAGGACTCCAGGCAGAAACAGCTTGCAAAAATGCAGTGTTCAGGATAGACAGTATGACTGACATACTGGCTGAAATTACAGGAATTTTTAAGTGCATGATAAAAGGGGGAAGAAGAAATTTTAAACCAAATTATCAACAATAAAACTGCGTTAAAAAATTGTAATTACTCTGCCACTAACTTTTCAGTTAAAAATATTTATGTAGTAGTAAAAAATTAAACTGTTACTAGTTATGATTTTTAGAATCCAGGAATACACAAAGCTAAAAGACTTAATTATAGTTATAGAGACTAATGTAAATATATTTGACTACTGCAATTTAAAATGAAGAACTGACAAAAATTGGGAAATAGAAATGGGAAAGATACCAGAATGGAAAATTAGAAACAATAAAATCTGTAATTGCTCATTTGAAAGTCAAGAGACACCATCTTTAATTGAATGGATGTGAAAGAGGTTTAAGAAACAGTAAAGCTATGGAAAAATTTAAAAAAAAAGAAGGAAAAAAGAAATAATACATTAGCTAAATTCTTTTTCATTATAGTAATCAGTTCATAATTCCTAAAAAATAAAGAAATATTGCACGTAGGCAGATTATTTTGAAACATGGAAGTCGTCAATATGAATATTTCAAAGTATTTGTCTCAAAGAATAAGACTGGGGATAGAAAATGATATGGGAGACTGTTTTTCATTACAAGCCTTAAATAGTTCATAACCATGATAAACACATACAGAGGGAGAGAGAAGGCATGCATGTTTAAGATGGGTGGAAGAAAAAACTAAATCACCACCTACTACTTTCTGTACTTCACATTGTTGCTCACCTTCACAATGTTTAAAATCATTTTTTAACATCTATAAAATAACACAGAAATAAAAGCTCTTTAGTTCTTTGTAATCACATAACATAAAATTATCATCATCCCACAATATAAGTCAGATAGGTAATACATTACAGAAAAAGTGTCACACTCAAAAATATGGCCTGTAAGCCAAATTGGCCATGAGGTAGATTTTGTTACACTTTAAGATGTAATTTAAATAAAGCAGTAAAAAACATTTATAATTCCAGGTTAATATCAGCATGGCCATTTAAAATCAAAGTACATTTTACTCAGCATGCTTCTTGGTCACTTTGGGGGATGGAAAGAAACCTTGCTGTGATTATTAATAGATTGAGTATATGTGACCTTGATTGTCAATTGCCCTCTAGTATTTAACTCAACTTCTCCAGTTTGGTAACAGGATCCCTACCCCCAACCAACTCCCAACAGAACCAAGTTTTAGCAGGATCCACTTCACCCAGCTAGTGACTTGTCCTAGCTGCCCTTGCAGGGAGGTGTTGGCATATAACTACATTTTGGCCAGTGGACTACAAGCACAAGTGATGTGTGCTTTTGGGGGATCATTTATAACAGAACTATGCTATCCTCTCTTCCCTCCTCTTATTCCTCTTTCCCTTAAGACTAGAACTTGGACAGGCCAATACAAGCTAGCAAAGATCATGAGGACAGGAACAACACTCTATAAAGCACTAACCAACAAAACACTCTGTGATGATGGAGGTATGAGATATCTGCACTGTTTAAAATGGTAGCCACCAGCCACGTGTCTATAACGGACTTAAAATGTGGCTAGTGGGTTTTTTTATTTTATTTAAGTTAACTTAAATGTAAATGTCAATAGACGCACGTGGCTACTGAACAATGCAGTCACAACGGATGGTTGAGAAACAAAAGAAAACCTGGATTCTTGAATGTCCTTGTGGAACAAAAGCACCAACCCACTCTTGACCATCTGCCTACCTCTGAATTGTTACATGAGAGATGAATAAAATTCTACCTTGTTTCAACTACTGAGGATTTACATTTCTCTTTGTTAATAGCAGCCTAGCATATGATATAACTAATAGAGACTATTTATATCAATTTATGACAGAAAAAAGTATCTTGGTGTTTGGTGTATGGATGAGATCTTAAAGGAAAAAAAAGTGACAAACTCTTACAAGTGATATCAAATCAGTTTGTCTAAGAAAATCTATTTCATGTCGGGCACAGTGACTCATGCCTATAATCCCAGCACTTTGGGAAGCTGAGGGGAGGATCACTCCAACCCAAGAGTTCAAGACCAGCCTGGGCGACACAGCAAGACCTCATCTTTACAAAAAAATTTTTTTAAACTAACTCATCATGGTGGCATGCACCTGTAGTTCCAGCTATTCAGGAGGCTGAGGCAGAAGGATTGCTTGATCCCAAAAGTTTGAGGTTGCACTGAGCTAGGATGGCATCACTGCACTCTTTGGTAAAAGAGAGAGACCATGTCACTAAATGTTTTTTCAGTCTATTTTAAGTTGGACATCTCACTTTAGACAACAGGGAATAAATAACTTGTATTCATTTAAATAAAATATAAATCATTCAAATAATGATTTGGGAAACTATCCAGTGGAAAGCTCAAACTTTTAAATAAAATGCTAGCAAAAAGCCCACAAAATAAGAATTAAGATTTGTATTTAGAAGTTGTTTAGATATTATCACTAAGTTAAGCATATTCTAAAATTGACAAAGAAAATATAAAACTGAAGTATAAAATCTAAAGAAATAAAATATTTTACTTTTGGCACTCCACTTTGTATTTATCATTTGCTATACTTTATAAAATAGCTTTTTAAACATTTAAAATATTTGTTAATAATAAAGCTTCAGTGATGTTTTGTTGTTGTCCCTGTTAATAGCTGAATGTTATCAAGTATAACAAAGCAGAAGAAGTGTGTTTTATAGCTCTTAAAATACTAATATTGACCAAGAGTTTAAGTTATTTAGCTTTTATTTTCTTTAGTCAACTAGATGCATTTAAGTAGTATTAACATCAACAGGCAGACTGCTTCAAAAGACAGACGGAAGACCTCTGTGTTTTAATAAAGCATCCAAGTTTCCATTTTTATTGCCACTCTCAAGTTTAAGCATTAACTACTTCATATCTAGATTACTAGAAACAATCTTCCTAATGGGTGTCTTTACTTCCTCTCTGTACACCAATCCATTCTGCCTTCTGTGTCTAGATTAATCTTCCTAAATACCTGTTTAATCATATCAATCCCTTGCTCAAACATATTCAATGAGTCCCTACCACCTGCACATAGAGAATCATTAGCCTAG